GATAAGCAAATATATTTTGATTAAAAATTTATAATGTGTATCATAACTTTAAAACATCTGTAAGATTTCAAAGCATTCGGTTTTCCAGATTCAAAATTAGATTGTAAAATGTTTATAATTTTGATTTTTGTTCCAAAAACTTGGACGTTTCGAGTAAAAACTCAACACAGAGTCATAAACTAGATGTGTAGGGCTATGTTATTTTATACATTTTAAAACCCATTTATTATGTACAATTATGAAGTGCGTTATCATATATTGGTGGGGATGATTAGACGGACACACAGATGGACAGACAGACGGAAACGGGAGACCTATTTCTACGTACTCTAGGGGTCACGAAATGTCGGGAAAACGTAAAAGTAGAGCGTCGACCGACGGACTCGAATACAATACAAAAAAATTATAAAATTTTTTGCCATTTTTATTTTCCAATAACTTCTGTAAAGTAACAACCAGTGGCGTAAATAATACCCTTGCAGCTTTTTTGAATAGAATTTTTCAGTTTTTAATTTTTTTTTGTTCCTTCAGTTTACCGATTTTTTTCTACAGTTTTTGGATTTGCAATTTTTCGAGTTTACAAGTTAAAATTTTTCAGTTTTTCAGTTTTCCAACTTTTGATTTTTTCAGTTTTTTATTTTCTTTATTTTTAAAATTTTTTTCAATGTTGCGATATTAAAATTTTTTGTTTTTCGATTTCTATTTTGTCAGTTTTTCTTTTCTTCAATTTTTCGATTTGTAATTTTCCATTTTTTCATTTTTTTTTTGTATGTTTCAATTTTACGACATGCAACTCTTTTTCATTTTTAAATTTTTCGTTTTTTCAACATTTTTCGGTTTAATAGATTTTGCAATTTTTCGATTTGCAGCTTCACGAGTTTTCATTTCTTCAGGTCTTCGATTTACAATTTTCCTTTCAGTTTTTCATTTTCTTTATTTTACCAATTTTGCAAGATTTCAGAGCATTCAGTTTTGCGGTTTCAAAGTTAAATTGCAAAATCTTGTTATACAATTTTGATTTTTTTTTTTAATATCGATGTGAAAACTCAACGCGGATTCATACACCACAAATGCAGAAATATTTAGTAAAAGTAAAAACAAATTTACTGTTGTAAATTTCGGTGATGATGTCATCAAATTGTTAGATAGACAGACAGAAACCGGAGACCTATTTTTTCGTACTCTAGGGGTCATGAAAGGGCGAGAAAACATAAAAATGGATAAAAAACAAAATTCTAAAAATGAAATTTTGCTACATTTTTTGACCTAAAATTTGTTTCTGATTCCAACTTTGTCGGTCTCGTATCTTCATAATTCCATTTCATTTTCCATCTTTTGTTAACATACAGGGATAGAAAGAGCTTACAACCAGTATCTATATGAATAAGTAAATTTCGTAACAGTTTTTGACAAAGTTTTATAATCTGCTGACTTCCACGTTCTTACTAAAATTTTCATTTTTAATTTGGAGATAAATTGCAAATTTTGTTACAATACAAAACAACAGTCTGAGCAGCGGAACATTAATTATAACATTTTTCCACTCCAGACTTTATTTTTTATCATAATGAATGGTTCGTAATTAATTTAAACTAGCCGTTCTTTAGAGATGCCGCAAACCTTTGCAGCTTTTCCCTAAATAGCCCACTCGGCGCTTTTATAAATAATTCATGGCATAAATAATTTTCGCGAGGAAGTTGATTTTTGAAAATACTTTTCCGGAATAACGTCGGCAAATGTAATAAAATATTTTCCCAATACCATTTATGAACGATGGTAATAATTTATATGATGTTAAGGTCAAAGCGTCAACTTTAAAATTCGCATTCATCCAACAGTTCTGTTCTTAATAAAACATTCTGCATTTGTTAATTTTTAGAGCTAACGGTGGTTTTCAGTAATGTGATTTTGCAACTAACATTGACCTATTTTTATAAGCAGGAAGCTATAAAAATTTTGCGAATGTGTCGCCTGATCAATCCAGGGCCAAAAATGGCACAAGAACTCGTTTGAAACCATTTTTGCCGGATTGATTTTCCAGACTTGAGACATGTCACGCAACGACAAAAATACCACAAATATCTTTATTAATTTACGATGCTCGTTTATTGATTGACGTAGATGGCATTTTGACAATTCCATCTGGCAATAGATTGTATTAGGAGTCGCAACCACCGTGCCAAATAAAAAATGTAGCTTAATTACGGCGTAAAACCAATTTACATGCACAACAGGCTGAGCTTTGCCGATTTGCATAACATGGGTAGGTCAAATAATACCGACATCAATTTTAAGCCAAATCTAAATTTTTTTTATTCATTCCTTGTAAGAGAAGAGCTTTTCCATTATTTCACCCAATTACCGCAGCCGCCAAATTTATGAAAACAATTTGCCGGTGTCGCTAAAAATCCTCAAATTAATGCAGAACTGTTTGAATTTGCATTTAAAGTTGCGTTTTTTGCAAAAAACGCGCAAATATATTGTGCAAATAAATTTCGAGGCGAACTTTGCGCTTCGCCCTGCTAAATTAAACATTAAAAGCTAGCCCGAAGTCGGTGCAAAAATTGCGCATTGTCAGTTGCAATTTTAATAGTTGCAGGATTCGTGAATAATAGAGTAATGAAAGCTTGTTGCTGGTGTTGGAATAATTAAATTATAGCTTTTATAAATTCTCCCTTCCTATGATTTATTTTGTTTTGGAAGTTTTGCGGCTGAGGGTCGTCAAACGTCTTAATATACCCATTGTGGCGACAATATTTTCTCGTTAAATCACAAGATTTACTTACGCCGGATCGTAAAAAAAATATTTGCGGAGATGATGAGTTTTTATAGTTACTTTGGGCTCGGGAGATCTAAATCACGATATTGAGTTTTTGTTGGAATTCGAGCGGTTTTGAAATAATACCATAAACTCGAAGTACTAAAGCGAATATTAATATTATTTAAATTTCATTTGTGAAATTGAAATAGCATTCTGTACGTGACGTATTTTCTGTGTAAACGACTCGAATAAATTAAATTTTAATGGGGACGCCAAAATTAACCTTGACGGTTAGAATATAGAAAGAGCTCATGCGAAATTAGAATTTCAGAAATGTTTTATTAGTTCAGAATTCGATAAAAGGATCGACTTTATATAGCCGTTATATTATTTAGATGGAGCACGTTATTCTTAACGTATGGAGAATAATTCCGTTCGTTTCCCGTTTACGTGTTCGCGATAATGTATACAGGATGTATAGAAAATAAGTTCCGATCCGTACCCGTAACTAAAGCTATCAAAGGAACCTAATTTATTTTATGTAATCTGTTATTGCTGTTAATTATTTTTTGTACCTGTCGTATTTTTATTGAACTTACCAGTTTCATTTAAATCAACAATCTTTTATATCAAAATTATAAAGTCGAAAAATTGTAACATTCAAAGATCGAAAAATTGAAAAATCGAATAAATGAAAAAATGTTGAACTATATCCTGTAAGCAATTTTAAAAAATATAGGTTTGCAAGCACGAGTCAGAACTTTGATCCTTCTAGAAATTCTCTACATTTTTCTTTTAACGAATTGGCAACACTGAGGGACACCAAAATATAAAGTGGTCTGTTTTAAGTTTAATTGACTTTTCTGACTTGTACTAAAAACATATTATTTTTATCAACTTTTTGTGGAGTTTGGTTAAAAAATAATCTACCTTTTGCCCTAAAGAAGTTGTACTTCTCAAAGTTCTTCAATCTGACCTTTCGTCTCTCTATCGGAATCAGTACTGATCCTTTTCCTTCCCGATCTTGCCACCTGAATGTTTGTCCCAAATTAGAATTCTCTCAAAAATCACATCCGCGGCAAACTAAAGATCTCCGAAGCGCAACTTAAAAATTACGAGCGCCTTGCGACTGCTCCAACCAAGGAAAAAAACTCACTTTCAGGGGCAATTAGGAAGTAGCTCTATTCGGAGTTTCTTTTCATGATCACTGTACCGTAGGATAGGAGCAGTTGTTAGTATTTTTACTGAGCTCACTCCAATAATTATCCGAGCGGACATTCGAATCCAGAAATCCGCAACATTTAACTACTTTGCCACAAAAAGTTATGAATAAAGCAACTCGAGACCGGATTTATTCCGCCGGCAGAACATGGAACGAACATTTCTACAGTTACAAAGAAGTAATTGTGAGCATAAATAAAAACTCGTATGTATGTTATTTTGAGTTTTGAATTTCGAGGCGGAATATTTATTGCGACTTTTACATATGCATTCTTGTTTTTTAATGCATTGGAGATGGAGAATTTCGTGCAGAATACACGCGTCAGTTTGAATAACTCACTAGATAGCTTTAAAGGGAGCGCCATTCGTTTTGTGGGAGACTCTTCTGAGGTAGCTCCGAGTAACGTGACGTCATGGCTTTCATGATTACTACTTTTGGAACTGACAACAGAGGGAGCGATGTCTGCATTATCGTTTAGCAGCTGTCTGTCTGAAATTTAGCGAAAATTAAACCGAGAATATTTTCAGATATGGCCTGCTTAAATATAGGTTGTTAGTTATTACATTTACTTGTCTGCATGTTCTGAATTTTGACGTTTTACGTCAACGTTCCTCATTTTCGCTTTTAACAACTTTCATTTTAATTAAATTAATGCGCAAACCCGAAAATAATAAAAGGCAGTTCTATGAAACACAGAGAAAGAGCATTTAACGTAAAAGGTTTTTCCTATTTATATTATCATCAACTACTTAAACATTACGCTAATGTAAAGATTAATCAAATGAAAAGTGTTATTAGTAGAAGCACCAAAACGGAAAAGCGACATCTACGGACTCTCGTGCTAATTAACGCTTTGAATTTTTTATAAGTCGCAGAAGTTCAAGTTTATTCTGTTTGATAAAATTTGTTTGTGCGAAGCGAAGAACATTATTCAGGGCAATGATTTTCTAAACATTTTTTTCTTGATCTGTTATCGTAAATATGTATTTATTGTACTAATTTGATCCTTATTTTCAGAAATCTTGGAAAATGAAGAGCAAAATGTTGCATTTCCTAAAATGAGCCCTTCGAAAACTGATTCCCGGAGAGGATGTGTGCGTCCGCCGCACTTCGACATTCTGTAAGTGCGAAACTTAGTGTAAAGTACCGTAAAAGTGAAAGTTAAAAACAATTTGACAACTGACAGTTGACACTAAGATCTGCTAGTCAAAATAAGTTATTTGTTTTGGTGGCAACAGCTGATTCTATTGGAACATCATTCAGCAGTATTTTTGTTAACTTAATTTAGAAAAATTGTCGTTCCTATTTGCACAAGTTAAATTCATATTTTCTCGACGTTTGAAGCGAATACGAAAATGTCGACTTTCTGTTTCTGTCTGTCTGTCCTCTGTCTTTCGTTTGCCGACGATTTTATTAAACAAATAATCTCTAAAACTACCCGACTGATTAGTGATGAATTTTAAATGTATGCGCATTAAGGCTACCTGTGAAGGGTGACATCATCCTAAAATTTTGCTGTAATAAATTTCGCTTGAAATTTACATATTTTAATAACATGTGTTTTAATTGTGGCTTAGTGACCCATATTTTTAACTTGATACACCCGCCTTCGCATAAAAAAAATAAAAATTGTAGATTAAAATGTTACATTTTGTGTTACAAGCTCTATAAAGACCAACGATTAATTATTATTTATAGAACAACATCGATTAAAATTATTTTTACTTCTGGAACGTAAGCTAAGGAAGTATTGCAATCGAGTCCATCGGGTGACTGGCTACTTTTATGTTTTCTCGATGTTTTATTACCCCTAGAGTAAGAAATAATAGGTCTTAAGGTTTCTTCCTGTATGTCTGCCGTCTGTCTAGATTGTTGTCAAGTTTTATATATATGTTATTCCTAAAATATATATCATGTTGATGGTAAATTTGCCTAATCATTCTTACCATAAATGTGATAACATCTCATCAACATTTTTCGTGGTAAGAATGATTTAAATTTTACAAAATAACATACCCCTGTACTTGTTTTTTATGTATCTGTCTTCAGATTTTCCTTGAGGCATCCAAATTTTTCCCTCTGTCTGAACTCTTTCGCTTGTCGCCTGGTGGTGATATTTTTAGACAAATAATCCTTGAAACTTTTGAACTAACTGCGTTGAAATTTTAGACATGACATGATTGAAGAATATCGTATACATCCTAAATGCTAATCAAATTTTTTGTGATCATTAAATTAAAATTATACAAGAAAATTTTAAAATATAAATTATTCTAAACGCAAAAACGATTGTTTTGGAATTTTGCACACGCTCTAAGGTAATCATGAACATCATGAATGTTATAAATCACTAATTAAAATTGGTCTGTTCGTCCCATCCAAAGACTTGATGACGTCATCTCAAAATTTTGTGAAGTAAATATGTTTTATAGTTTATAGCGTGATATATTTGTTTGGTTGCGGTTTAATAATGTATAAATATTCTCAGTGAGGCATGTACGGGTTATCAGAAAAAAAAACATAAAAGCGAATTTTACACTTTGTCTTAGAATCTAAGAAACGATGTTTTACTTCCCCAGCGCAAGCTAAGGAATTATTGTAGTTACGGTCCATCCAACCAATGGTTAATTTCATGTTTTCGCGACGTTTCATGACCCCTAGAGTATGAACAACTAGATCTTCCGTTTCTGCATATCTGTCTGTCGTTTGTGTTCTTTTTTTTTGGGCAGATAATCTCTGAAACCATCACCGCCAGGACCGATTATTGTCAAATTTTAATTGTTAATTTAGGAATATCGTGTACATCGCTAATATGTCTAATCACAACCACTAACAAGTTGATGACATCATTTCAGATTTTTTCAAAGTAAAACGTATTTAAATTTTATAAAACATATACTTTTGTACTTGTGGTTTATGAATCCGTCTTTAGTATTTAGATTTTAAGAGCCATGTTCTACAATAGCTATCTAATTGATTAGAACGCGGGCTGTTAACACAGAGGTCACCGATTCAATCCTCTCATGGAACTCTTTTCCTACACTGTGATTGGTGTTATATATCGTTTTTTCGAAACAACTGGATTTATTTATTTGTACTTCAAGGGGAGGAGAAGTTCCGACTAATAACATAAGACTAATTTTTCAATAAAATGTTAATATTGTTTTAATAATTACGCAGCAACCATTACTCGTGGACCGCAAACTTTTTACTCTGGTGATAAATTGGTCAATTTTAAATTTTTCGACTTTCACGTAAAAATTACTTTGGTAAAAAAACATAGTTATCATTAATATGACAGGCGAATTTTAAGAAAAAACGTCGCCGTTGTCCAAAGGTCGTAGTAATATGTGAATTCGTAATTGTGCAGTTGATATTGTGTAGTTATGGAGTTGGAAAACTGTGATATGTAGTGGCAAGTGCAAACAATGCATGTCCGAGTTTGTTAGCAGCTACTAACTAATCTATGTATTTATCTGATTAAATTCTAGAAAATTATAATAATTATTATACCGCGAGATCGAAAAAGAAATTAGTCAAAATTGGCCATGCACGACAAACCGTTTGTCGTAATTTAAATATGTTTATTAAATGTCAAATTGACAGTTTAAAATTAGAATTATGCCACCTACTTTTAAAACACACAAAAATGAATCAAAATCACCGTTTTCCAATTTTGTCCCATTTCCGAAGTAAGATGCTAACAAAAAAGCTTTAATTTCGTTTGATAACATTGGAAATTACTTTTGTCAACTTGACGTTTAATAAATAGTATATTATTAGCCAAGGTTGCAGAGCCAAGCATTCTAGACCGAGCGCAAATTAGAACCCGAGACGCGCAGCGTCGAGGGCTCTGAAGCGCGAGGTCTAGAAGTGGCTTTGCAACCGTGGTTAATATACTATTTTTTTCACTAGTAGAAACCATAAGACAATAAACTGAAAGTATAAACGTTCAATTTTTTGACGCAACATGATTTTGTTTTGATTTCTAATCAAACTTAATCTAAATCTTCAACACAAAGAAAACCGTTTATACTTGTCGCTGAATTAATCATTTTATCTTCTACCGTCTACCAACTAGCATGCGTATACTCAAGTAATGTTTGTAGCACACATTTGTTCATTTCTTAAGAAATAATCACATCAAACATTGCGTACATAACCTCAATTTTTCTTTTTGAACCGGTGGTCGCAAAAGTTGAATTTGCTACCTCTAAATGAGTCGACATTTGCATGCGTCATGGCTGCTAGTGAAAAAAAATTATTTTAAAGTAATAAACTAAGACAAACGGCTTTTCGCACATGGCCAACTTTGACTAATTTCTTTTTCGATCTCTCGGTACTATTGAGGGGTTAGCAAAAGGGTCTCAAATGGTGTAGCAGTTGCCGAGGTTGAAACACCCTCAAAACTCTGAGAAATGCCCACTGGAATCTGAACATCAGAAATTTAACTAACACTTGAATGAGCTCTAGCCAACAAATCCTACTCCCACGTCTACGAAGGCGTAAGTCGCGTAACCCCTGGTAATGCGTGGCGTACAGTGGGTGTACGTTATGTAACTGAGTTTCAGGCGCCTGAAAACGAAAGTTTCTCGGCTAATTGGAATAAACCAATAGAGAAAAATTCTGACCTTGCAAGTATGAAGGTTGAAGCGGTAGGCCAGCACCCTGCCATTATTAAAAAAATCTTCATTGCTAAAATCACTAGAGAACCTTGTCTCGGAAAACGGACGGATATTATTTTCGAGGACAATTGGCTAAGAAACAGGACGTGTAAAATTGGAACATGAAATATTTGTAATTTAACTAATAAACAGAGATAATTTCTGAAGTAACAAAGTACAACCTAGATATAGTTTCGTTGTCAGAAACGAAACGTAAAGGCAGCGGGAACGAAAAAATAAACGGATTCACACTATACTGGTCAGGTGTGGAGAAACATAAACGTGGTTGCTCAGGGGTAGCGGTCCCAGTAAAAAATCGATGGACAAAATTCATCAGTGAGTACAACTATATGCCGGAACGAATATTGACATTGACTTTGAGAATTAAGGGCCACGAAATAATAGTAATAGTAGTGTACGGTTCTATAGACACTACAGAAGACCAAGAGAAAGATATGTTCTATGATCAGTAGAGAGCGGATTTCTAGGTTTAATGCTTTTTGTGAAAAATGTAAGCACTTCAAAACTTTTTTATATCTGTAACTATGATACAATTTGGAGTCATTTGACACATTTTTTTTTTGCTTATTTGCTTTTTTTCAATTTTATGTATATTAAAACTTATATGCTTATTTAATGCTTTTTTCGACGAATATGAGTTTTAATGCATATTTTGTTCAAATGCCGGCCTTGTCGGGATGACAAATACTTGTTAGTTAGCCGTACCGTATTGTATGCATTTTACCTGGACTTGACCATTGAAGTACACTTACTCAAGACCCTTTCTGTGAATAGGTTCCGGTCGTTTGGGTAATAAAATTTTATTATAGGATTGGAAAAATATTCCATAGATTTTATGACTTTAAATCCTTACTTCCGTTGATAATGAATTAAAGCTTTTAACCAGATGTTCTTTTTCGGCATTTTGCGGCAAGACCGTTGAAGATTTTCTAGAAAAAAGGATTATTGTACCCAACTACCTACCTTAAAATTTTTCTAATGGAAACTTTTAAGTAAATGAACCGTTTATTTCACAACCATCAGTCTATCGCATCTGTCGTAGTACAGTGTTATACGTGGTTCTCCCTTGTTACATGTTGAGTTCTTTTTGGTAATATTACTAATATTTTAAAAGAATGCCGAAAGTAAAATCGACGCCGGATGAGTGGATAAGGGATTTTCCAGAATTAAAATTAGAAAACAACAAAATATTCTGCAGAGTTTGTGTGAAAACCGTAAGCCCACTAATTTTTTTTATCTATTTTCCTTTGTTAATTCTGTGATAAAAAATATAACGTGACGCAACATGTCAGAACGACTCTTCATGTAGAAAGGAAGAAAGTGTTTGAAGTTTCTAGAATTAAACAGCAGACCATACATGAATCTGTTGCATCTACTTCCACAAAAGATGAGCAGTTTCAGTTTAATTTCGATTTATGTAAAATGATGATCCAGT